TGTCCCGTCCACCTCTGGGGGCCCGTTCTTGCCTCCAGCTCTCCCCCCAAACACACCCCTCCCATCCTCTTCCCTCCGCACCTAAGGGCCCCCCTTCACCCACCTTGCTCCCCACCCGCCGCAGCTAATTGGTGGTGACTCAGAACTGAGGACGATGCCGCGTGGGTGTGCTATCCTTCCCCGACTCGTTTCGTCCCCCAGCTCCTGAGAGTGGGGGGGCCCTGCCATTTCAGAATGCTCGCCGGCCCCCCGGGGACCCCTCTTCTCCCCAGAGAGCCATGTGACATGGCAGCCCGTTCCCGGCGGCAAGAAGGTCCCCCAAGAAGTCCTGCAAAGGCTCCCAGGCCTGCGTTCGTGGGCGTGGGCGCGTTCCTGCCTTACCGGGGAAAAGCGGCTTCCAGCCTCTCTGTCTGATGCCTCCTGTAATGCGAACAGCAGCTGTGGGGGCTTTTACCTTGCTTTTTCTGGACTAAACAGGCCTGGACCATAGGGCCCATTCTCCTCCCTCCTGACGCTCCAATGCCCAGGACAGACAGAACGGCCCAGAGTTGGACCCAGTGCCAAGGTGGGGGGAGGTTGGCCCCCTGGCCTCCCAGCAGCCAGCCGCCCTTAGCCCCCCTCCCATCGGATAGTCCAGCACCAGCCAGACGCCCCTCATTGCTTCCTGCGCACCCAGGAACTGGGCCAACCGAAGCGGGACTTGGCCAATCCATTTTCCAGGCAAAACTGAAACTGGGAAGGAGAGGATTTGGGTCTGAACCCCAACCACGTCCCTTGTTAAACAAAACCAACCTGGAAAACAAACTGAGTGAAAACCTCTGGCCCAGCCAGGCCCAGGTCGTGGGTAGAGTTTAAGCAATGTTGAAAGTGCCCACAAGGCGTGGCTCTGGGCGACCCCTGGACTCACGTCCCCACCCCCAAGGCTATCACAGTCTTGTGGGGAAGAGAGACCCAAGGGGCTCCAGTTCCACAGAAGGGGCCCAAGGCGCTGTGCCCGGGGAGGGGTGATGCAGCACCCAGGGTGCCCAGTTACACAGGGAAGGTTGGCTGAGGGTGTCCAAGCCATGCAGCCCACAGCCATCCCGTTCCCCTACGGGATCCCTTCTGACGTCACTTTTGCCAGCTCCTCCCCTAACATGCAGGGTCCTGCCTTTCCTCTCCTCCTCCCGGAAGCAGCCCCCAGACTCAGTGGCTTCAGTGTCCTCTCTAGATCCTGCCCTCCCCCAACTCACCCTTCCCAGCCCGAAGTATTCCACACCCTCCTTGTATCACTTTCTGTACCTGAATGTCCCCACTGGTCCCCCCACCGATGCCACCGCCATCCGCCCGCCTCCCCCAACCTGGAGACCCAGAGAGCTGTGCTCCCGGCAGGTGTCATCATTCCCCTGATGACAGATTCCCCAGTCTTGTTTCAAAGTAAAAGAAGCTCAGCTCTATCAAGGGCTAAAACACTCCTGAGTGTTTAAGCTCAAACACAAGGCTTCAAAGGCATTTACTGGTAATGAGATTAAATGAGATAATGTGTGCGCACTTTCAGACGAGCCCTCAGACCACCATGGGGAGTCTTTGCTCTCCTTTGATGTCAGGCCCTTTAGAGGGAAGGTTTGCAGAGCTTTGCAGTCCATGGGATGCTGGGGAGTGGAAGGGGCGCCAGGAATGGGGTGAGGCGGGAATCTGCAGGCACGAGTGTGTAAAGGGCCCTGTGTGTGTGCAAATGTGCGTACATGTGACTGAGAGAGTCCCGCCACGGCCCACAGCTTCTCTGTCTCGTTGCCACCACCATGCTGACCTCAGGGGGTCACTGTGGTCAGCACAACCCCTTCTGGCTTGGCCTGAGCCCCTCACCCTTAGTTCCCCCCAGCTGAGCAGAGACTGGTGATCATTTCTCATATGACTTTGTAGGAAGAACAGGCAAACACCCAATTCTATCTATGCTGGCTGGGTGGCCTAAAGCTATTTCTTAAGGCCAGATTTCCCGTTCCAAGGGAGGGACTCCAAGGAAACAGCGAAAACATTTTTGCATCTTGGATTCTCTACTTAGGATAGCCACACATACGTGCCTGTCCGGGCACACAGGGATTCTTCTGGACAATCTCCGCTGACTAGGGGCCACTGTGGTGCCTAGGCATCGAGCTGGGGGAAGGGCGCTGGGCTGGGAACCTCACGTTGTTAACTTACTCGTTCCCAGCACTGACTGTGAACACGGAGTCCGGAAAGGTCAAGTTCCTTGTCTAAGGTCATGGAGTTAGAAAAAATAGCCTGTTATGGAATGTAGTCCCTGCTGGGTAAAAAGCCAACCCACATTATGTATGTGATATCGCTGGACCCTTCCAAGGCACAGTAGACGTTGAGGTGCTAACAACGAATAATACTGTTCCCCGTTTACAGATGAAGAAACGGATAAGCAGAGAAGGGAAGCGATTTGTCCACCGGCATCCTTCTCACTTTCTGAGGGCTTTGCCCCAGTGACTACGGTAAATTTAAGGATTTTCAGGGGTTCAGGTTCAAGGTAGGCAGGAAGCACGTGACTTTGGGGCGTGGTCCGGAGCCCAACTGCATCAGTGTCCTGGTCGGCCCCGGTCTCATCTCTTGGGCTCAGCTGGAGCAGGGATTGAGCATACTGGGGTTGTACTGGCCTTGGCCACTCCCCCTCCCCCCGTCCCCTCCCCCAGCCCTGAGCCCTCCTGCCCTGACACAGGATAGCCTCAGCCCAGTTCCTGGGTCACCTCCTGGGACTCAGGTCAGCCCTCTCTCCTGGGGCCCAGTCCCCATGAACCTTACTTTTTCTAGCCCCCAGCAAGATCTACTGTCCTCTCCAGCAGTGGATGGGTGGGACCACGCACAGAGCTTCAGGTCTGGGACCCCCCAGGCTTTAATCCTGTGTGACTTCAAATACATTGACTCACCTCTCTGAGCCAGTCTACCTCCTAAGAGGCAACCATGCATCTGGTAGTACTCTACCCAAAAAGATGACGCGAAGGTTTCTTGACCCTTCACCTCCTTTTCTTTTTCTCATTTTTCATTTCCAGTGAGCACTATTTATATAGTACTTAGTCTACGCCAGGCACTGTTGTAAGCATGTTTATTGCTCATTTAATCCTCATAACAATCCTGTGAGGGGAGGCACCGTTATGCTCTTATTTTACAGATGAGGACTCAGAGGCACAGATTTGCTCAAGGCCACACGGCTTTTTTAAAAAAGTGAAATGTAATTGACATATAACATTATGTGGCACACAGCTTTTAAGGGGTGGAGGCAGGACTCAGTCCAGGGCAGGCTGGCCCCAGAGTTCATGCTCTTAACTTCCTCTTCTGTACTGACCTAGTGTGTACGAAGCATTTTAGTATAACACTCAGCCAAAAGGAAAGGCTTCTAATAAGCAACAGCGGTCATTACCACGTGACCTCAAACAGGTCATCTTACTTCTGTGGGTCTCCATGTTTCTTGTCCCTACCTCTCAGCACTCGTAGAATAACGGGTGTGAAGTTCCCATCACAGATCCTAACACAGAGCCAGCCAGCTGGGGGCTCTTGGCAGTCCTGTCCCCATCTCTGGAAGCTGCAGGTGGAGAGGGGTCCGGGGTGACTTTAGTTAGACACATCCACTGAGCCAGCAAGAGAAAGTGTAGGAATACCACCAGCCTTGGGGGAGCGGGGGGCCCAAGTGAAGCAACAGGTGGCTTAGCAGGTGCACGGAAGCACAGAGTGGGGGTCCAGGTGGGGGGAATCTCGAAGAAGGATGTGAACACCTGTGGGCCAGGTAACCTTCACGACAACCCTGAGGACACAAGTGTCTCAGACAGGAGATGTGACAAGGCCAGAGGTCAAGAAAAGCATGAATCCATTATAGGCCTGGGGGTTTGGGCTTGGCTACCAGGATGCAATGGGCTTTGCACCCCAAGATGGTTCTGTGGTTCCTCTCCCCACCAGATTGCTCTTCAGCAGGATGAAGGGCCTCAGCCTCAGGGTCAAGGTCCAGGTAAGGAGTAACTGTTTCCTACAAATGTGCAGCCGAGCTGAGGCCCTGGGCCGAGAAGGAGGGGCCTTCTTAGGAAAGGGACCTGATGGCAGGTGGAGTGAAGCAGCGCTGGGGCGGGGTTGGGGGCTCAGTCCTGGGAGGGGGCAGGGCCCAGCTGAGTATGGGGGCGGTGGATCCCCACCGGAATCCAGAGAAGGGCAGATGGTGCACCCGCTGCCTCTTCCCATCCCCCCCCCACCCCCAGAAGACTCTCCTCACGTACAGGTCTGTGTCACCTGCCCTGGGACCCATGGCTGAGGGTGACAGGAGCCCTTTCCAGAGAGGCCGCCTGCCGTCTTCGGAGGCAGGAAAACCACTTCCTGGGGGCCCAACTGTGCCCTTTGAAAATCCAGGCCAGACCCAGCAGCGTCTGTCCCCACTTTAAACCAGAGGAGGGCCGCGGGGGACTCACCTAGAAGAGCCACGACCCCGAGAGAGGCTTTTCCAGATTCCAGATTCGTTTTTCTGGAAAGCCTCTTCACAGCTTTTCCATTTCCCCTGGGGGCAGCAGCAGCCCAGCCTGAGTCCAGTAGCCCCCGGAGCAGTGAGGTCTGACCTCAGCGTTGCCATGGGGACGCTCTGGATGCCACGGCCACCTGCTGAACGGTACCTTCCTTCCAGAAGGAGTGGGAGGGGACAGTGGCTGCTGTGCGCTGTGTGTCACCCTGCTCTCTGCTGCCTGGGTTGTTTCTCCCAAAACATAGACCGTCACAAGCGGGGCGGGCGGGGGGACGTTTGTGGGCCCTGCTGGCTGCGCCACGTGTGCGCGTCTGTGTGTCTGGGGCACAGGGACAAGCACTTATAAGAGCTCCCAGGGGGCTCATTTTCCTCTCTCCCTGCACCGGGCTGGGAGGCTGATCACTGTGCTCCTCGTGGCCCCAGACAGTAACCTGGTCTCCATAGCAACCGGCTGTGACATCACGAGGAAACTGCAGACCCTTTATCAGGAGCGGAGGAAGCGCGAATACACGTTCAGGGGCAAGAGGAGCTCCTGCGTCCCCTCCAGAGGCCCCTCACATGGTCGGGGAAGCGGCCTCGGAAGGCGAGGTAGGAGAGGGTCTCTCCCGGGAAACACCGGGCTCTTCTGTGAGCTGTGGACTGAGCCTTCTCTGCAGGTTTGAGTGGCATCTAAATGAAGTCTCCCTCCCCCACCGGTTCCCCTCCCTCACCCCTTCAAAATTACAGCTCCGTTCCCTCAACCGTAAAGTGGCGATAATGGAAGTCACTCTTCATTGAGGGATTATTGTGTGCCAGGCGCTGTGGGTTTTCTCATTTGCCCCACGACAACCCGATGGAGTATATCCCCTTTTAGAACGCTCTATTTTCTAAGGGGAGGAAAGTGAAGCACAGCGAGAGGATTTCAACCCAGACAGTTTGGCTCGAGAGCGCATTCACAGTCGCCCTGGCGCCCAGCGGCACCTCTATTTCCAGCCGTGCTGTGGCGAACGGTTCCGTGCGGGCTTCAACTCACTTCGCACTGCCAGCATCCCGCCTCGTGTGAGCACAAGGCCTTTTTCTTTTCCTGCCCTGAGGCTTGTGCAGTGCCCAACAAGCACTGCTGGCGGGAGCATGCTCAGCATGAGGACATGCTGGGGGCAGTTAGCTTCTGCTGGGCCAACAGCCTCTCACCAGTGGGGCATGGGAGCTGATGAATGGATGCTTCTGTCAATCTGTCGTCTGGCCGACAAGCCCGCGGGTCCTTCTCTACACGGTTCAGAGGGTCCTGGCCGCCCTGAGCCCCAGTCACCCACAGCACTGACCTGAAGATGTACAGTGATGTGGGCTTTTCTGCTTTCCTTTATTGCTCGGTTGTATCAGTTTCTGCTCCCTGGGGTCACCGCCAGCGTAAACTGCTGGCAGACACGTGCTTGCATCAGGTTCTGCTGAGGGGGGGCCCCCAGGCCAAGGCCATTGGCACTGGGGTCCTGCTGAGAGCAGCAGCACAGGGTGGCAGTCTGGACCTGGGATCCACAGTGAGATGCAGTGAGGCCCCTGTCGTGGGATGGCGGAAGCTGACCAGCTTTTGCGTGTGAGCATCGCATTTATGGGGACCGTGTCTCCTGGAGCGGGCTGGGGTGCAGCATGGACGGGGTCCGTGAGAGCTCTGGCATATGAACAGTATGGGACAGTAGTAATTATAAGGGGTGTGGCTTCTGTGAACTGCTGTCATAGCCTTCAGGAAAGAAAATACCATGCTCAGGTCAGTCAAGTGTCACCTCTGGGCGCGCCATCAAGACCCAAACCCATCACGACCCTGTTTGAAGAGACTCCCTCCTCCTGCAGCCAAAGGGGCCCCGGTGCTGAAAATCAGGCTCAGGACTGAACTAGAGGGATGGAGGGGCTCCAAAGGGGCCGAAATCACAGCTGAAACAGTCCTGCGCAGGGTCAGGCCCAGGCTGGGGACGGAGTGGGACCCTGAGACCTGAGCTGGGGACACGTGCGGGTGGATGAGTTTGAAGACCTTGGAGGCCCAGACGTGTCTGAAGCTTTGTGCACAGAACTCACACAACTCAGCAAAGCACTTGTTGGCTAGTTGGGGCAAGGGGACCAGGTCTGGGCTGCCTCCAGGAAAGGCCACCATGCTCCCCCTGTCCTGTCCCCTGTTCAGGGCCTGACTGAGAAGCCCCAGCCACTACTGGGTCATGTGCCTTCTTGAGCATTCACCAGGCCCGCAGCTTGCCTCATTTCCAACGAGCGTGGGACTCATCGAATCTCGAACAGAGAGACAAACTGGCAAAATGGGGACTGGCCTGGGCTTAGACCCAGCTAGACGTGGGTTCGAATCCCACTGTGGGTCCCGGCAGAATGCGGCCCTGTCAAGGCCCCCCGCTGTTGCGACATCTAGAGAAACTCATGGATCCAAAAGACACGGCCAGTGGCCAAGGAGGTGTTTATGCCGGGCACTGCTCGATGCCAGGCGGCCGCCGTAAAACGCTCCGTGCCTCTCTCCTCAAAGCACAGTCTGGCAGAGAAGACAGACGTGCATGAAACAAACCAATTCTCAGTACCGAGTGCTGTTTGGGATTTGACTACATCCCAGGCTTTGTGCTGAGCTCTTCAGATACCGAGTATCACAAGATCCTTAAAACATTCCCGAGATGTCCCACGTCCCTTTTACAAAGGGGGACAGGGTGGCAGGGACCTTACTCTGAAGCACGAGCACTGCCCTTGTACACGACCTACTTAGACCAAGACAGCCGAGCAGAAGACGGGGGTGGCCTGATGGGGAGGTCCAGAAAAGCCTGCCAGACTGGTGACAAGACAATCCGCAGCGCCAGAGAGTGCACTCAGGGCCTCCTGGGGGGGCTCCATCCCTTAAGCGTCCGACTTCGGCTCAGGTCACCATCTCATGGCTTATGAGCTCGAGCTGCATCGGGCTCTCTGCTGTCAGCGTGGAGCTCACTTTGGTTCCTGTCTCCCTCTCTCTCTGCCCCTTCCCAGCTTGTGCTTTCTTTCTGTCTCAAAAATAAATTGATAAACTCATCAAAAAAAGAGAAAAGAAAGGAAAAGAAAAGAAAGAAAAGAAAAGAAAGCAAACAAAAAAACTCAAGAGCAGAATAAATGTCAACCATGGTTAGGTTATTATTAGGCATCTATAGGGAGGGCTCGTGTTTTCGGAAATGACTCGAAACAACACCAATCAAAGCCAGCGAGAGCTCGGGCCGCTGCCCCTGTACTCAGGTGGGGAGCAGCCCCTGATCTCGGCAGCTGAGCTGCGGGTTCCAGAACCCTGGCTCTGCCCCCAGAATCTGGGGAGACCCAACAGTCCAATCTCTGCTTTTCCCCTTTGGAAGGCTCTCAGACGAGCAAGCTCTGGAGGATGGGGGCTCCGTTGAGGTGTGTTCTGGGCTGGGGGCAGTGGGGTCGGACTAGCCGGGCTCCAGAGTTTTTATCGGTGAAACCCACTCAAGCTGGGCTCAGCAAACAGCGGAGACTTGTTTATGAGTCAGGACTGCCCACCCTGGGCTGGCGGGAGACTAGAGCTGGGCCTGCGGCCCACTGGCTGGCACTGGCCCTTTCCCCTCATCTGGGCGCCTCTCTGCCAGCTGGCTTCATTCCACTCTCTTTGCCAAGCAGGGTCTTCCAGGCCTCGGGGGCCATGGCTGCCCGGAGCAACTGTGTCCACTTGTCTGGCTCTGGCCCAGCCATGTGAAAGACCAAATGGCTGGGCCCTTCCCTCTCCTCCCCTTTCCAGACCCAAATGTGTGGGGGAGAGAATGGACTGGCCCAAACTGGTCCCGTGTCCAACCCGAGTCTAATCACCCACAGCTAGGGCGGGTGGAGAAGTAGTACCTCGCACCCACCCCTGGGCGTGGGCAGGGAGGAGTCCCTGTATGCAGAGGGGTCTTTGGCTCCCCCAAAGCAGCCACAGCCAGTGACCCACCTGTGCATCCGTTCTCGTCTTCTCTCCTCCCCATCCTCACCCCTGCCAAATGCCACACTTTCTTAATGTTCCACTGACAGTCCAAAGCAATCCGTACGTCATCAGCTAAAGCTCTATCCCAACAATAGAATTCATAATATTTTCACCCCTATAATTATCATTATTACCTACTATCTATTGAGGTTTTCCTACATTCCAGGCACTGGGCATAGCCCTTTGCACTTACTACTTCATTTAATCTTTACAATGACCTTGTGAGGCAGATACCACTATTTTGGTAATAATGAGCCAAGGATAAGAGTAAGAAACTGAAGGACAGAAAGGTGAAGGAAGCAACCAGGTGACATTGCCCCAGAGTGGCAGAGCTGGTGTTGAAGCCCCCAGAGCCTACGTGCTCAGCCCTGTGCTGGAGGCTGCCGGCACATGGAGCAGTGAAGCTTCTGGTTACTTAGCCAGACCTGCTTCCCCCTCCCCCGAGAATCGCAGGGCCAGGACTGATAATGTGAGGCGGGGGCAGGGCTGGCGGGCATCACAAGAGAGAGAGCATGGGCTTCCTGGAAGGTTAAACTTGGGTCTCAAGTTTCTCCCAACTGTAAAATAGGGGTGATGTTCAAGAGGTGTCCTGAGCTTGGCAACTGGGAAGATAAAACAAGAAAACACGCTCAAGTCCCATCCAGGTGCCTGGCTTAACACGCGTTCTCTCCTTCCTCTCCTATGTCAAATCTATGCTTGCAGCAGAAATGATATGCCGGTCTAAGAAAAGCACCACTCGTGAACTTGAACGCACAGGCGTGAGCTGAGGAAGCATAAAGCATTTTCCCTCTCTCCCCAGTGAGAGAGCCTCCACGGCTTCGGGGTAAAACAGTCGTGTGCTTGAGTGGGTGTACTTGCTGCTGGAGGGACTGTACTAGAGTCTGCTTCCAGAATTCTTCTCGGGGCCTGGAGATGCAGTTAATGAGGCAGCGGCGGCCAGGGCTGGCCACACATCTGGGCAGCTGGGACGCGTCTGCAAGGAGATCCTTTTGGTTGGGTTAACCAGGGGCAAGACAGAATGTTCTGAGTTACAGGACAGGCATAACATGCCTCTTCCAAAGACTGAGCAACTGATCTGAACCCCTGCCCCCTTTTTTTTCTTTTTAAATAAGCCACCAATGTCCCAGGCACGGTGCCACACAGTTTACATTGATCCTGGCCAACCCCATCTGTGCAGCCTTGGGCAAATTACTTAACATCTCTGAGCTTCATTCTCCTCATCTGTGAGATGGCTTTCATGATGTGCCCGGCTCCTGGGATTCTGATGAGGTTTAAATGAACTAATACAGGAGCTGTCTCAGCGAATGCTAGCTGGATGTTGCTATTAATGATGTGTGTTTGTCAATTTAAGCTTCACAGTGACCCTGAAAGGCAGGAACGATTGTCCTTTTCTTCATCCCACTCCTGGTTGTGGGGTGAGGGCGGCGAGGGGAGATGGGGGTGGTTGGGAAAGGAAAACTCAGCCGTGAAATTAGTGGCTCCTGAGTGCGGACCTGTCCACAGGCAAGTGCACACGGACAGTGTGTGATAAATAGGGTTCTTGGGCCGCAGTCTGCAGAGGGCGACTCTGTGAGTCTAGGATGAGCCTGGCGATGCATCCGTAGTGTAGCTTCCCCGGCGATTCAGAAGTGGGGACCTGGGTCAGGTGATTTGGCAAAGGTCCCCCAGCCAGCAAGGGGTGGAGGCAGGATTTAAATGTAGAGGTGGGTCCCTAAACTAGCATTATTTACACAAAGAATGCTTCCCATTCTCTTCTGCCGCCTAGAGCTGGGGCGTTCTCATCCAGACCCTCTCTCCGGGGAGGGGGCTGGGGGCACGCTCAAGAGCAAGGCCCTCTCAGCAGCCATTTCGGGCCACCCCCACACATCGTGACTTCCTTTCCCCAAAGCCAACGGAGCCAACACAGCGCTTTGTGGGTTCTGGAAGGTCTCACCAACGGCCAGGGACACATGCTCCCCCCAGACTTCCTCTCCAGGGCTGGTCTCCGCCCTCCGGTGCCACTGGGCATTCCGAGAGCCTCTGGCAAACTTCAGGAGCTGCCAAAGCATTTAGTTACTTTGATCATTTTATTAATAAACGTGTACTGGTGCCAACAACATGGAAACTGCTGTCTGGGAAAGGGGTGGGGACATGCTCTGGGGAGTTTTCTGCTGGATGGCGGAGACATGAGAAACAGTCAGGGATCTATGGGCAGAAGGGAGGCAGGCAGCCGCATGGCCCAATTTAGGGCATCCCAGGGCCTTCAAGGACCTCTGGGGGCTGTGAAGACCTTTTAGGGAAAAGGGCTGTTGAGAGGGACTGGATGTGAAGGGGCCTGGTGCCCTGACCCTCCAGCCAGAGGACTCAAGCCACTTGGGGCTGGGAGACTCGCTTGGCCTGCAGCCAGCCCCTGGGGGTTGGGAGAGGGGCAGGCAAAGCGGCAGTCAGCGCACTAGACCTGCAGAAGACCTTGAACCCCAAAGCAGTGGGAGGGGCAGGGAGGCCCCTGCCCCAGAGGGGCTGCAGGCCTGATGCTGGGCTCCTAGGAGAGAGTCTCAATCACACGTAGGAAGTGCAAGGGGCCCGGGGCCAGCACACAGCAGATCCTCTGTACACACGGCGAGCATTATCAGCACCTTTCCGGGATGTGGTAAAGAGAAATACTCAGAAATGGTGTGCCCAATAAGGACAGGCCAGGAAAGTGGGCCTCTGTGTGGAAGTGGCTAGCAGGTGACCTTGCCGGGTGCAAGCCCCGGGCGTCCGAGGCTCAGCCCAGTGTGCAGGCACCAGAAAGGCCCTCTCCTCCACCAGGATGTGTATTCTCCTCTGTTACTGGCCAGTGAATAAATAATCGGAAAGCCTTGCCAGGATCTGCCGTTTACCCTTTAAGGGAATGAACTCGTGTTTCATTTGGGGAGTTGAAAAAAATAAAAGCCTCCCCAGACAAGAGCCTGGATGGGGGAGAGTGTTTCTCCCAGTCTCCGTGCTGGAGTGAGCCGGACAGACGGCGTGGATGGGGACGGGGACCTGAGGAGCCTCAGGAGAGGCTCCCCCACCCTCTCCCACAACAGGCACCTCCCGGGCGGTCACCTCCTGCAGGAAGCCGGCACCGTGCAGGCAGACGTCTTCGCTAAGTGTGCCCAGGCCCGTGGGACAGCCATGTGTGTAAATACATTGCACGTCAGTATACACTTTACTCAATCTATGTGTTACTCAATATGATCTTTCCGTTACAAATAATAACCATGTATTATTATGTAACATATTATGAATGTTATCAAACACACACATATAAATTAAACAATAAATTACATTAGAGTAAAATAGTACTTAAAATTTTTTTTGTCAATGTTTATTTTTGAGAAAGACGTGCATGCAGGAGCTGGGGAGGGGGGAGGAGAGAGAGAGAGAAAGGGAGAGAGAGAATCCCAAGCAGGCTCTGCACTGCTAGCACAGACCCCAGCTCGGGGCTCAATCTCACGAACCACGAGGTCATGATCTGAGCCAAAATCAAGAGTCGAACAGTGAACCAACTGAGCCACCCAGGTGTCCCTTAAATGCTTTTTTTTTTTAATGTTTCTTTTTTTCCCCCTTTTATAGTTTATTGTCAAGTTGGTTCCCATATAACCCCCAGTGCTCATCCCAACAAGTGCCCTCCTCCATGCCCATCACCCCCTTTCCCCTCCCCCCCAGCCCGCACATCCCTTAAATGTTTTAATAGTGGTGGATGGTTTTATGCCATCGTTAGCTAAGATCTCCAAGCCAAAAGCTATACTGAAGGTTAGGCTCGTTAGTTATATCGGTAGATATAAGTTCTTAGTTCAAATTGTCTTCTTACTCCTTTGTGAAACGTGGGCACTGCTTTATTATTAGACCCTGTCCTTGTCTTTGCTTCACCTGCGGCTGTCTGAGTCCCAGGGGTGAAGTCTGAGTCCCAGGGGTGAAGTCTGAGTCCCCGGGGGTGAAGTCTGAGTCCCAGGGATGAAGTCTGAGTCCCGGGGGTGAAGTCTGAGTCCCAGGGATGAAGTCTGAGTCCCGGGGGTGAAGTCTGAGTCCCGGGGGTGAAGCACCCATAGCACACACCTTGTTCCGCTTACGTTTTGTTCAGTGTTTTCTTACTTTCCTTTTCCCCCCTTCATTTTCTGCTCTTTGGACATCCCTTGTCTGGCGAGAAATCAGCTGAATGGTATTATAATCTGTAAAGCTACTGAACTGGACTCACATAAAGAGAAAAATTCTTCAAAATGCTGAAAGCAAGGACAAAGGGCAGGCAGCAAGCCTCTCTGTCTGGTCCCTGGAGTAACACTGGACATAAAGACCAAATATGGACATTCAGCGTCAATCTATAAATACGGGTACAACTTACACACACACACACACACACACACACACACACACACACACACACACACACGAGCGCCCGCGTGCTTTGTTTTGGATAAAACAGAAAGAGAAACAACAATGTTTAAGCATCGCTTTCCCCTCCATGAGCTGTCTGGCACACGTCCTGACACCCCGCTTTGGAGTGTCCCCCTCACTTCTTAACCCATCTCACCTGCAAACAGTAGCCAGTATGAGCTCATGCAAGTGTGGAAAATGTGGATGTGATCAAGCCACCGCCCCGCCCTTGCTTCCCCGTGGGTCTTTGGGGAAAAATAAAGCTTCTTACTTTATTAAAATAAAGCTTCTGGCTGCTTCTCCCACTTCCCCTGCCCTCCCCCCCCTGCCCTGCCCTCCCCCCCTCCCTCCCCTCTTCCCCTCCCACTCTTCGTCAGCTGGGGTAGGGGGGAGGGCCTCCTGATCTCCTTGGCCCGTTCATGCACCTCCGCCCGGTATGACCCCTGGCTGGCTTCCCCTCATCCTTCAGGTCTCAGTTCTAGTGTCACTGCTCGGAGGGGCCGGGGCAGCCCCCATCTCAAGAACACCCCCTTTCCCCCATCAATCCCCTGAAGGCATTAATCGTATTCGGTCATCTGTTTGTGGACTCTGCCATCTCCTCCACTCTGTGGTGAGCTTGGGGGCGGCCAGGGAGGACCCATGTCTGCTTCTTTCACTGCTGTATCCCCAGAGCCTGGTATACTGTAGGTGCTCAATAAATGAATGAATGATGAAAGGAACGAGTCAGATAAGAAGGGATCTATAAATTCTCTCCTGGACTTGACTCACTTCTTGGCTAGAGCTTGAAGCTCCTGGGTCTGGGGGGCAGCCTCCCACCTCCTGGCCCTGGGACCCTCCAGCCCCCCTTACAGCAGGGACGCCGGGAGTACCTGTCCCCGGTGCTTAGAGACAGCCTGGAGTGGTTTCCGAGGGGGCGGCAAAGGCAATGGAGAGTGAGGCGTCCACCTTTCTCCTCAAGAGCTGAGAACCTGGAGCATCAGAGAGGGCTAGGGTTATACCCAAAGACACACAGGAAGGTCAGGACAGACAGCTCACTGGGAACACGGGTGAAGAGACAAATTGGGGTTCTCTTGGTTAAACGGACTGAGTGGCCCAGGAAGCTGTGTGGCTGTTGAGGGCAGGGGTGCTGTCCCCTGGGCTGGGCCTCTGTGAAGGCTGACTTCACTCTCTCTGGGTACAAGAGTCTGTGCTCATGTGATCCTCCTGGGTCCCTTTCGGGCCGTCCCCGCAGCCCGGTCAGGGAGGCACAGATGCGGCTTCAAGACTGGTCCTGGCTCACGCAGGTCTCGCAGGCCCCCACCTGGGTCTCCCCTGCGCTAGGATAGCTCTTCCCCCCTCCCCCTCCTCCCCTCCGCTTCCCCCTCCCTGGTCCCCCTGCTTCAGGCCCAGCAGCAGAGCTCCTTCACCCTGTGATCAGCTGGCACACAGGGGAGCAGACAATCACCCGTCTCCCCGGTGTCACCAAGCATCTGCAGGTGTGGCCGCTTGTGGCCACGGGCCCAGCCTCTCCTGCTCAACACCTGCTTCTGTCTGAAAGGACATGAAATGTGACCCTGTGGGAAAAGACTGGAGAGAAAGCAGGAGAAATATCTCCTTTCCACAAAGGGACCCTTGTTTTACTAGATTCCTTGACAGCCTCTGTGAAGTGAAGGTGCTTTAATATACTTTTAAGGAAAACCAAAGCCCAGGAGATGGAGGGGGAAGGAGGTGGTGGGGACCGTTTCTAAACATCCTTCCCTCTTTGGGTCCGTTACTTCTTTACAGTGAAGGGATCGGCCTTGACCCAAAGCCAGCAGCATGGGGGCCTCCCGTTCAGGACGCTTGGGCTCTGCGGATGCGCTGCAAGGTTTCCAGAAGGTGGGTGCTCGGTTGGGGTCTTGATGGATTTGCAGGAGGAAGGGCCAGAGTGTCACGGGTGGCTGACCAGGGCCAGGGCCGAGGAGGCAGGCTGGGAAGGGAGGAGAGGGAGGCTGCTCAGAGGGGAGGGAGGCAGGGGTGTGGTGGGAAGAGTCTTAAACCCAGAACCAGGAGCGGTGAGGCCTCTGCCCCTTCCTAGGCCTCAGTTTCCCCATCGGCAAAATCGGTGGGAAAGGTTTAGACGGGGTGGCCTCTGAGCTCCCCTGGCTCTTCCAGCACCTTCTGCCCCACCGGGCGCCGTCCTGGCTCTCGCTGAGGCTGCAGGTGTTGGGATACTTCTCAGGGCCCTCCTGCTGTTCAGGTGCACTAATCCCCCTTAAACCGGTTTCTTCCTGGTTGCTGTGACCATGAGAGGCTTGTGGAGTCCTCCTCTCACAGGAAGAGGGACTTGGCATGGGGGGAGGGGCAGGTCTGGCCTCCTTCCGCCCCCTCACCTGCCAGCCACCGCCCCCCCCCCAGGCCATCTGTTCGAGGCTGGGTCCCAACAGAGAGCCCTTTCAGCGCTCCCTGCCTGTGCCTGCCCCCTGCCCCCACCCCTGTCTGAGCAGATGGCCCGCTTGCCTTCCCTCTATGCAGACCGGGGTGCCCTGAGGCCCAGCAGGAGGGGGGGTGGGATCTGCCCTGCGCCTACAGAGCTGGCCAGCACCCGACTTAGGCCGCTGAGCCCCTACCTCACTGGGCCCCTGCTGCCATGAGCAGCACCCTCCCCACTGCCCAGCCCTCCCCCGCTCCAACCATTCAGAGAGGGCTAGGCTCTCAGACGCCACCACGCCAGCCCCCTGGGTCCACACGGGAGTCACCAGACACCAGCCTGAGGCCTCACAGCTCCCCAGAGGACACGTGCGTGTGCTTGGGACTCAAGAGCCTGGAGAGGCAGGGGAGGGGGGACGGGGCAGAGGGGAATGGGGGCGGATCCTGACCCAGGAGGTCTGCAGAAGGGCCTGTGAATCAGCATTCTCTGTCAGCTTCCCAGGCAGCGCCCAGGTCTCATAGGGGCTGCCATTCTGTCCTCTTGTGTTTTGAGCCTGAGTGGCAGTCAAAGGTCTGAGACTCAAGCAAGACAGGTGACCCCCGCCCCAGCCCCATTCCGCAGGTAAAGCCGTGGAGGCCCCAAAGGCAGGCAGTTTCACAGAGTAAATTTCGCATAGAGCCAAGCCTGGTACTGAATAATACCATGCTTCTTAGGTCAAGGCTTCCAGGCAACAGTCCCCTGCCATCTCCCCAGGAGAGGGAGAGAATGGCCCTGAGGTCATCTCTGCCACTCCCCCCCCCCCCCAGTTATAACCCTTAAAGGCCCCCAGTCCTGGAAAGATGGTGATGTGGTGATGTCACCCCTTATCCCCAGTGCAACCCTAAATAAGATCAGCACTAGACTCTAAAATAACTGTAAGGAAATCTAATAATGACAAAAGCACTTTGGTGCATTTAAAAAAGAGATTACATTCTTGGAATTCATTTGATTTGTGGCCCTGCTTCTGTGGTGCCCAGAGCAAGATCCCCATTTCCGGAGATGGCTCAGTGGCCCTGTGCCCCACTCAGCATGGCGTCTGGGCCAGGAGCCTGCTGGCTGCTGAGTCTCCTCTCTTCCCTGGGCCGGGTCCCTCCCTGGCTCCTTCTGTCTCTCCAGATTTCCTCCCTCAAAGCTGGAAGGCACCCACCAGGGGAGCCTGCATTTCCGACAGGGACCCTAGAGAGGCAGACTTGTGAATGGGGACTGGAAATATGTGCCTCTTCTCTCCTTGACCATATGGCTTCCCTTCCTGGGTGGGGGGGGCGGGGAGAGGGATGGGGGAGTGCTGTGAAGGAAAGCCTAAGTCTCCCCCCTCACCCCTCTGGGGCAGGGCCCCTGCCTAGCCCTCTTCACAGAGGAGAGAGAAGGCAAGCCACCCAGGGACGTGGCCCAGAAGCCACTCTGCTCTGGGGTCACTGGCGTTAGATGGTACTAGAAATGGAGAAGCCGGGAGGGACGGCAGAGGCTGCAAAAAGCCAGCTAAGCTGGTGCCTTGTCAGGCATTTAACCTCCCTGGACCTCACTCAGGTAAGACAGGGCCTCGATCCTCATCTCACTTCACAGGATTATCCAAAGATGAAGAGAAGCCGCATGTACACGCGTAAGGCATTCAGCACCGAGCCTGACTCAGGAAGCATTCAATGTCCTGTTCTTACTATCACTGTGAGCTAGCGTGACATCATAAGAAAGAGCACTGGGACAGGAATCAAGCCACTCAGATTCTAATTCGGGCTCTGCTACTCATGTGTGGGTGGCTTTGAGCAAACCCCATAGCCCGCTGGGAGCCTCAGTTTCCCTACGTGTAAAATGAAAGGCTGGGACCAGATGACGCCTCTGACTTTCCATCGCTCCATCGCTTTCCATAGCTCCTATTCGTCCTTCCTGACTCAGTTAAATGTCAGCGTTTCTGGGAAGACTTTCCTGAGACCACCCCCACCCCCACTAAGCCGTGAACCTACTGGTCACCCCTCCATGCCCACCTCTGGTGCTGCATTCCTCCGACCGGCCCCGCCCGGAAGCACATGTCCCCGGAGGGGCTGCACACAAGGTGCACAGCCTTGTGTGCACCACCTCCACCTCTGGCTTGCAGCCCCAGGGGAACTGTGAGATTAAGGTGACACTTGGTCAGTTCTCTTGGGCTGATGGTACTCCCTCCATTTTACAGATGGAGACACCGAGGTCCTGGCTATTCAACAACCCACGCGACACAGCTCAGAGAGCCTGGGAGTCCCAGAGCCTCAGCCTGATTTTCTGCAGTGACGAGGGCTCTGACAATCATTACAACCGTGATTACTCCTTAAATTGGTTATTTTTCACTGTTGATGCTATCACGTGGCCCCCCTTTCTTTCTCACTCTTTTCGGTTTGCATTCGCCAGCTTGGGGGAGGGGACTGAACTTGATGCAAAGCAGAAGGAAAAGACAGCAAAGGAGAGGGAGCGGGAAGGCTGGACACAGGAGAGGCCGGGGTGGCTGTGGGGTTTCTCACCATCTTCCAGGCTGCCCTGGACCCCTGGGGGGGCGGGGAAAGCAGGGTGGGGGCAGAAGGCAGGAGGGTGGGGAGTAGTTCAGAGGTTCCAGGCATGGGGGGAGGGGTTCTAATTCAGGGCCAGGGCAGCCACGCCCACCGCTGACCCAACCCCCCCCCCCACATCTCTGGCCCCCACCTTGGGCCAGCACGGTGCTGGGCACAAAGATCCAGCCAACTGATACAGTCTCGTCTGGAAGTAACCCTCAGCCAGCCCTGGGCACCCGGGACTTCCCGCCAAATCCAAATCCACTACGATGTCCTGAGGGTGATGCTGGGTCAGCTGGCTGGGAAGGGGGGGTCTTTGTGGCCCAACCTGAGTTAGAGATGGGGGGAGGCACATAGGGTGGTTGGGAAAGGTGTCGAGGACATGAACTGAGATGGGAAAAGCATGAGCAAGAGTGAACCCATGCAGACTGGGGGCACGATAGAGGAAGAAAGTCCTGGAAGATGGAACAGCACCGGGAGCGGAAAGAGTGATGCACAAGAGGGCAACTTGGAGTAGCATCTGGCTCAGTCTATCTCCTCCACCAGAACGCAAGTTTCTCTGAGGCAAAAATGGAGTTCCATTTATCACATTTTATGTATACATGTATGTATATATGCATGTATTCATTCCTTCATTATTTTTAGCTGCAACAATTTAAAGTTTATTACAAATCTTGCAAAATAAAGTGGCGGATCTAGGATGGTCTTTACCCTTGGCTGCCATGGACTGTTGCACAGGCTGTGTACTGCAATGCTCCCTCTTAAATAAGAGTAATGCCCTATGGCCCTGCTCTACATGTCATTAATTTATTCTTTCCCTGCCTCAGCTTAAGTACTAAGTATAGAGTAAGCTGCTGGGAATACAGTGGTGAGTGAGATAGATAATGTCTCTGTTCTCAAAGGGGTATGTTCAAGAGAAGGCAGATAAAAGAAACGGCAATCACAAACTTAGATGTGACACTTGCTCTAAGGGCATGAATGAGGGTTAGCAGTGGAACCCCAAGAAGACCTGTGACACCAGGGAGTGAGAGAGAGAGGCAGCCTGGTGAAGGCCTGAGGGGAACAGCACTGTAGGCAGCGGAAGAGCATGTGCAGGGGCCTGGGGTGGAAACGCGCAGGGGATACAAGGACCGGGAAGGTGGACTCTGTGTGGCCGGGGGAACAAGAAGAGGCAGTAGGAGCCGAGCCACGCCATCTAGAGTGACGAGTCCGGATTTTACCCTCAACAGGAGAGAAAGCCGTGTTTCCCAATCATTGGTCAACCTTTTCAAAACTCTCCTGGAAAGAGTGGCTTATAGGAGGCACAGCTGAGTGCTGGGAGGACCAGTAAGGGGGAAAGACAGCTGTCCCCGAGGGAGGGGACAATGGCTTGGGTTAGGCTGGCTGGGGGGCATGTTAGGGCAGGTGGTAACAGGTGAGGTGCAGAGGCCCAGGAGGGGCGGAAAGGAGTGGGGTCCCCTTCCTGCCCTCAACATCCACGATAAGAACAACAAACCTTATTACTCGTCAGTGCACAGCGCCCCACAGCACGGTGTCTGCCGGTGTGAAGCAGACAGGGCACGGGTACGAAGCCCGGTGTGTAAACTGAGGCCCAGAGAGCTGCAGAGTCTTGCCGAGTTCCCATGGCCTGGAGGAAGCCCAAAGAACCTCCCTCCCTGCTACAGCGTCCCCGTCCCCATGGGCTCCTACTTTCTACGGGCCCGGGGCCGGCCGGGGTGGGGGTGGGTGGGGTCAGAGGCCCTTCCCCCCAGCGGGCACAGCCGCCTTCTGTTTACTGCCTGGGGCTGAAAACACACGTTAACAATTGGCAAAACACAGACAAACTGCAGTTCAACATGCTTCGATTGGCAAATGCGCACTGTACCCTCTTCTTCTGTAAGGACATAAAACAATAATTTATTCATACTCAGAAGCCAGCACAGCGTCTCCTGCCAAGGCTTTCCTGCAGCCTCCTCCTCCAGCCCCACCCCCACCCTCAGTGAGGGGCTCCCAGAATGGCCTGGGGTCTGTGAGGATGATTGGGGGGCCCTGAAAGGCAAAGGGAGAGCTGCTCTGGGACTTTTCACAGGAAGGTGCAGAGATACCATTGAGTGCCTACTGTATGTCGGTTCTCAATTATTTCTCATCTAATGGTCAGAATCATCCTGTGAGTTGGAGATTAGAAACCTAGGAGATATGGACCAGGGTTTGAACTCAGGCTCTGCCCCTTATCAGCCAGTCATTTGGTGAGAGCTTATCTCCAAAGCAGAGATGCTAACAGCCCCTACCTTCTCATGACTGCTGTGTACAGTTCACAAAGTCTCCTGCATATAGTAAGAGCTCAATAAACACTAACTAACCTGGCAAGCCCGGGGTTGCTGTTATCCTTGTTACTAATGGGCAAACCGAGGCCTAGGGAGGCTCTGAAAGTGAGCTAAGACCACACAGCTAGAAGCTGGCAGAAACACTGGCAGGTGTGCGGAGTTCTGTGGTCTGGGTCCAAAGACTGTCACTAAGCAATAGACAAGCTCGAGGGCTGTGCACTTCACCTCCCGGTTACCCAGTGCTGGGAGAGGCCCAGTGTGCCCTAGACCTGGGGGGAGTCTTACGATGAGCGGACACGGGGCCGCCGTCCCAAAGCACACGGCCTAATTGGGGGCAGACAGGTAACAACAGTACCCAGAAGGCACTGTGTCAGAACTGTCACCAGGTGCCCCAGGGTGGGAAGAGACAGCCTTGAAGGGTCCCTGATGTAGGGGGCAGGGCCGCGTGGGGGTGCTGGGACAGACTTCCCAGAGCGGACACCCTGCGAGGTGGACGGGAGGAGGGCATTCCCGGCAGGCGGCCCAGCCTGGGCAGAGTCCCGTAGGACACCCATGTGTTTGGGGGTGCGGCTTGGCTTGGCTCTCAGGCTCCGTGCAAGGTGGGGAACGAGAGGTGGGGAACCCTGAGGCTGGGCCTGGCGTGCTTCTCGCCACCAACCGTAACAGCCGTGGCGTGTCCTTGGCACCACGTGCGCAGCGGACACCAGCTGTAGCGCTGCCTGAGCCAACCCCCTCTGCCGGCCCTGACGACAAGATGTACACAGTACTTTCCACCCCCTCAACAGCTTCCTGGCGCTCTAACCCCAGATGGGAAAGCCGAGCCAGCAGCTGACCCGTGGTGGCTATACAGACCTGCGTGGGGTGCGAGGGCAAAAACGTGGGCTTTGGAGCTAGAATTCCAAAGTGGGCTGGAATTCTCGGTGCATGAAGCCAAGCCTTTCTGGGCCTCAAGTCTCCATCTGTAAAATGGGTTCCCTCACAGAGGTGAGCTGGAGGCGCAAGCCACGTGTCTCGTACACATAGGCTCTCCAACGTGTGAGCCTTTTCTCTCTCTCAGCTGAGAGTGAGAGTGGGATGAGGGGAAGGCAGCGGTGAGTGGGGGAGGGGAAGCCCTCCACCCCCCCAGCGGCTCAACCTCCAGGGGACCCGTGGACAGGGGGATCCGCCTCTGAGGGCCCCTCTACCAGGAGTGGAGGGCGGCAGCCAGCCACGCAGGGGTTAACTGGCTGCCGCCAGCGGCAGGTGCATCCTCCGCCAGGAACCCCTAGCCTGAGCCGGGCCCCAGCGCCTGCCCCGCCCCGCCCCGCGCTGCTCCCGGAGCCATTACGTAACGATGCGCCTTTGTGGCCACGACCCGCCTCGGCAGCGCCCCGGGAGTATTAATAAACCGATCACTCAAAATGGCAGGCTGGGCTTTCTTCGCGGAACGACAAACACGGCGCGCCCCTTCGGTGCCACCCCCATCCCCCCACACACACCCCCGCAGCCCGCAGCCCGCAGCTCGGAGCCCCTTCTCCCACCCCCAACCCCCCCAGGGCGAGCACTCTGGTCCCAAGAACGCGAACAAAATTATTCCGGAACCAACCACTGTGGCTTCCAGGCCCATCGCTTCCACTTCCCGGATGGGAAATCTGGAGGAGGGAGACTCGTTAGTCAGCTTTACCTGCAGAAGCGTCGGTTTCTAAGAATACACTTCGCAAACTCTAAAGCCTTGGTTCTCAACCTGCGGGAATGCAGATAGCGCCCCCGGGGTGGAGGGGGGACTCCCTTGTTGTCTGAGGTGGGACCTCAATTTGCATTTCTGACGTGTTCCTTGTAGCCATGCCTTGAGAACCGCTTCTCCAAAGGCATTTTTATGGATTCGAATCTGCTGGCCCTTGATGCCCTCCTCCCAAACTTGAATGACTACACTGGGGATGGGGTGGGGAGGAAGGGCCATCCCTGCCCGGGGCAGCAGCGCTGGGCCAGACTACCTGGGGTTGCAGTCCTGGCCTCAGTGCTTTCTAGGGTGTGGCCTGGGGCAAGTTGTGGAACTCAGTGGGCCTCGGTTTCCTTGTACTGAATGGTCCCACCCTCCTGAGATGTGCTAGGTACATAGGGTGTGGCTAGACCAGTCCCTGGCACATGGTGCTCAGAGGCTATCTCCTGAGATCCTGATAAAGCCCTCTGGGGTAAGGTACCCAGGTGGCCCAGCGGCCCCTGGGGCTGGCGGCTGGTGAGGCACTGGCCACATCCCCAGCTGGACGCCCAGGGTCCAAGGCCCTGACCTCACAGCCCAGAGTGGCTGCTGTGGGCTCTCACAGTCCTGGGGTCTCTGTTCAGCTGCCCTCTATCTACACAGCAGTTCTTTTCTCCGTCAGGGCTCAGCACTCTGAGAGTCTGACCCAGCCGGAGGCTCTTGTTCGGCTTGCAAGTGTCAGCTGTGCCCACAAGGGGTAGCCCACACCCCATTCC